GCGTTGCGCTTAAGGAATATAGTGCATTATATCATTGAAAGTGGCTTTTGGATGGCAGTGATGGCTGCATCGCTATATGAATGTACTTAATGCCACTGTACTTACACTTAAAAATGGTTAAAATGGTAAATTTTATGTTACATATATTTTACTGTAATAAAAACAATTTTAATGATATTTGACACTTGTCCTTCAGGTTTGAGGTGCCCCATTTTTGGGTGTGGGCATAGAGTGAAGCAAGAACATAGAGGATCCTCACCTTGTCTAAGCTCAGACCTTCAATAAAATATTGAAAAAGCTAGGTTGTGATATGTATATTGGTATTGCAGGCCACCTCAGCTTCCTTTCTTCTAGATCAGTGGTATGGGTCCTTGTCTGCAGTAGTTGCTTTTGAGAACCTAGAGAGGCCGGGCACTAACATGCAGCAAGTTGCAGAATATATGAGCTGAGGTCAGTGACCACAGTGTTCCATCTGCCTGTGAGTGTCAATCATCTCAATTCCAAAACAAAAATCAAAAGACTTAAATTCCTTTTAAAAGCTTTTAGAAAACTAGTTGAATATAGAAGAAATAAATCAATAAAAATTAAGTTAAATTAAAAAAAATAGAAAACTAGTTGAGTCCCTCCCTGCAAGGTGGCAAGAGGGGATGAAATAGATGGATTGGAAGACAACCTCTTTTTATTTCCCTTACCACTCCTTGAAGGGAGTCCAGGGCCACAGCCAAGGCCAGCAGCTGGAATCAAAGAAGGGGAGGAAGGGCCCGACTGAGTCGCGGACCAGACCACCTGGCCCCTGCTCAGTTATATATGGCTTAAATAAATGACAACCCAAAGAACATGCACTTTACAGGATCTGTTTCCATTTCAATAATTGCCGTCGGCTGGCGTCCTCTGGTTCAAGTCCAGATCAGTGGGAAGGGTATGTTGCAGCGAATTTAGTGGAAGTTTAGTGTTTCTAGACTTTCTTAGGGAGATTTACAGATGCAAATCAGTCTTTAGCAGATTAGTAGACCTGAGTCTCTGGAGCAGTCTTTCAGGTGGCAGCTGAGATTCAGGAGAGCAGAGAAACTACGTGGCTCTTAAGGCAAACCGGGCTGTCCTTGCCCTCCATGGGGGGACCAGCTCCTCCACATCCTGTTGCTCCTGCAACACCTTCAGGTCTGCAGCTTCCCTGGAGCTGAAGACCACACACATCACTCATTTTGGTGTAAGTGATCACACAGACATATACCCCACGATGGAGGCCAGAGATTGGTGAGAGCTGGTCAATCAATAACATCCCTGCAGATCACAATAGGAATTTAACCAGCTTGAGGTTCATGGTTCATTTGATAAGTAGTCATCTTCCCGCTTATAAAGAGCTAAGACTGGCAAGCCTAGGATCAATACTTTACAAATGACCAAACGATGCCTGGAGGTCCCCACTCATCCTCAGCACAGTCCCCTGTTGCCTCCAGCCATCCATTCCATTTCTGCCAGGCTGGGTTTGGGTGAAGAAGGCATGAGCATAAACTTTCCAGTGACACATTCTGGGGCTCAGGCCCCGTCACTGACATTTGTCGTCCAATTGACACTGAACTTAGTTTCCTCATCTGTGCAAAATGCCTGGTAACTCACAGCATTCTTACAGATGTTAATGACGTGACAATGGCAGAGAGTATTTATTGAGAACTACTCTAAGTGCTCAATCTGTTTTAGATCCAATAATTCAGTCCACATAGGAATTCCAAAGCTGAGACCTGAAGACTAGTATTTTTTAAAACCTCCCCAGTTAATTCTCAGATCAGTCAAATTGAGAACCTTTGTTGCATTTTAACGTTTAGACAGAGTAACCTCTCAGTGTCTTCAAGACAAGCAGATCTCATCTGTCACTCACTACTTGAATGTACTTGGTCAAGTCTTTCAACCTGTCCAAGCCTCAATTTCCTCATCTGTAAAATGGGCACAAAAATAGCATCCACTCCTGAGAATTGTTCAGAAGGTAAAATGAGCCATTTTAGGTGGCTGTGTCTGGCACACACCAATGTCTGGTAAATGTTAGCTAGTGCTATTAGGACAGCTCCTTTTTCTTAGGCAACTAGAATCCAAGGCCTTGGGAATTTTGTGTATAGGTCACTCTATCTTCAATTTAAATTTATCGCTCTTCACTGGCACAGTTCATTTCAAATCCAGCTCTTCCTTAAGGAACTTTAATGCAAAATAATCAACATGCCAAAGTGGTGTATTTTGGGGTGGCATATTCTGCTCCACCCACAGGTTTTTAGTTTTCACCTTGGTGAATTGTCTGTCATCTCCCTCTTCTGAATGGTTGGAAATTAGCATTGGTTCCTTTAAGTAAGAAACATTCTTGTTGGAGTGAGTCATCTCTCTGTTCTCCTGTTTTAAGAATCAAGTTTGTTCTCTAGCTCTTTTCCTTGAGGAATTTATTTTCTTTCTCTCTTGCTGAAGACCAGATTCTGCCCTTCTGCTGCACAGCAATGTTTTCACAGTTTCTCTTTTTTTTGTCTCTTGTGATTTTCTAGAGCCCTGCTGAATTCACCAGTAAATTCTGAATGTGAAGAACAGGAAGTGGCTGCGCTGAGGGAGGCAGAAAGTAGAGGGATCGAAAGTAAAAGAGAACTTCCTGGAGGCGTTTCCATCCCCCCCCTCCTCCCCACACTGGTCAACAGGCTTTTTTCTGATTGCATGGGCAAGGCTTAGGAATTCGAGCGTGTGAAATTAGACAGCTTAGGGGGCTTGACTTCCAGGACTTGGTGACTGTGATGTTGCAGTTACAGGGTGGAGCAGGTGAGTGGCTGGCGCAGAGGTGGCTTCTGGAAACCACATTTCCGGGACTCACTGAAGGGGCAAATCTGGGTCCTGTGAGTCCCAGATCCCTGAATGGGGTTTCTCTCCGAAACACAGCCAGGGAACTACTTTTTAACTCTGGCTACTTTTTTTTACCTGAGGAATGTCTAGTTCTTCTGCTACATTTCTGTTCTCAGTCTCCTTGGCCGCCTCAAATATTGAACATTCTCTCTTTCTTGATGGATCAGTTTGGAGTTCCCACAAGACTTTATTTGCCTATTCATGTTTGTTTTCTTTTCTGTTTGGCGCTGGGGTAGAGGGCTGAGTCACCTTGTCAGACTCAGAGGCCCTGTGGTCCCTGGTCTTGGAGGCCCACTGATCCTCTGTCCCGGTTCCTTTCTAAGTACTTTCTCTGATCTCCCCACTCTCACCCCACTTCTTACCCCCCTCACGGGCTTCCAAAAGACAACTCTCCAAATCTTTTGATATGTATCCCTGAATTGATCTGTATCTTTGCAAAATGTATCATTATTCTGGGTGTGTACACTATATTTAACTGTGTGACTTGGAGCAAGTAAGTAATTTCTCTGTGCCTCTGTTTCCTCATTAAATGGGATTCATATTACCTCATGAGGTGGCTGTGAGGCTTTAAGGAGATAATACAGGTTAATCACTTACAACACTGAGTGACTGGCACTAAGTACCAGTGTGGGCAATTATTATCACGTATTAGTCTTATTTGTATTGTATGTTTCTTGTTCTGTTTCTTTTTGCGAAGTAAACGCTCTGTGCTTTAAATTCAGTGCCTTTTTCCAGGGCCAGCTTCCTAACAACTATGTAGTATGAAATGAGCAGTCTCCACAATCTTTAGAAAAACCATTTAAGAACTTGTCCACCGATCCCTAGCCTGATCCAACTTGCAAACCTTTGCCAATCCGATAGATACACAGTGGGTATCTCATTACTTTATTTTGCGTTTCCAGCTTACTAGTGAGTTTTGAGCACTACTTCATATGCTTTGGTTATTTGAGCATCCCTGTAAGGGAACTCTAGGTTCGTATCTGTTGTCCTACAGGGTTTCTTTTTCTTGTTGAATTGCAGGAAACCTTTGTATGTTCTAAATATTGCCCCCGTGGCAGGTCTTGGGAACATGGAGATGTGGTCCTTGCCCTCATGAAGCTCATAGCCTAGGACAGGAACTAGTCTCTGAACAGGAAGTAGTCACTGAAACGCTGGGGTGAATGCTCAGGAAACATCAAGAAAGAGGCAGGAAATATATCCTGGGCTACAACTTAGCCACTAGCAGGATTTCACTATGTTGCTGTGTTCTCACTCAGACCAATGGGCAGAAGCAGGTGGTAGCGGGGGCATCAATGTTACTTGGCACCTTTTACCCAGCCCTGTGCAGGTGAAAAGGTACTTTCAGATACCTCGTTTAATCCTCTGAGCTGTAAGTGGGTCTCTGTCCCCTGAAAGCTTCCATCCTATTGGGGGAGGAAAAAAAAGGCAGTTTCAAAGAGGAAAGGTGTTTGATTTTTTTTTCTACTTTTAATATCAGGAAACATTTGAAGTGACTCACAGCAAAAAAGGCAAGGCGAATGTGCGTTTTGTTCACTGTTAATGCATCTCCGGGGCCTAGACCATTGTGAGGGCCCCAGAACTGGCCTCTTTGATAAGGTCATTTGGGCCTTTTGGGAGGAAGCTTTTGATTCCAAGTTTCTAGGCTTCTGAGGGTGGGATCTGGTGGATGTGGAGCTCCTGGAGATGATCCTTGTATTTAGTATAGATGGAGGAACCACGAGAGCTAGATGTGGGCGTTAGCAGACCCTCTGAGAGCAATGCTCAGGGCCCCGAAGTTTCCAGATCTCAAGATCTCTCAGAAGGGCTCAATGTTTGCTGAATAAAAACATTGAGGTCTTAATGATGAATTCAGAAAAATCTGTACATTCCTGAAATATGAAAACAGTGTTCTTCGTTATCATCCACTCCAACTCTTACCATTTTGGAATGTGGTTATGAGGTCCATCCAAAGTCACATAGCCAATCAAAACTCAGGCGGCCGTGTTCCCCACCGCCGCCCTTGCAGCTCTAGGAGGCGCTGCTCAGAGGCCAGCCTGCTTCACTCAGCCTATGTGACTCAGGATTTTCGAAAACAGGAAGTAGAAGTATAGCTGAATTCTTAGTCCTTCCTCCAGCTTTTATTCTTGTTTTAGGTGTTCCAGGGTAAAAACAGACTGTGAAGAAGCTGCTGCCACTGTGAGGTTCCCAGGATTTTCTTTAATAAGGTCAGTTGGGCCTTTGGGGAGCAAGGCTTGTGATCTACAGTTTTCTAGGCTGCTGAGGGTGGGATCTGGTGGCCTTGTATTTGGACTTAGTGGGGAAATTGAGAGGATTAGCAATCCTTCTGAGAGCCATGGTGAGGCCCTCTGGCTTAGGTCAATGTGCTGGGGCTTTTTCTGGAAGGCTCCAAATACAGCAGGCCTCATCCTTATGCTGGCCAAAGTTGTCAAAGAGTAGAAACCGAAATTTACATCTCAACTGATTTTGCTGCTACACTAACCCATCTGCCCACACATACCCACTGACAGACATACCCACTGACATAAATGCACACACATAAACATGCATGCACACTGTCCCAATAATTCAAGGTGTTTTTGAGAAATTAAAGACATTCAAACCAGTACAGAGAATAATAAAACGCAAGCACTGACTGACAAAATCAGAGACCTATCACTTTTGGGGTTAAGCATTTATAGGTGAAGTTAAGAATTGCATTCTGTTTGAAAATGATCAACTTTGGTTATAAATATTTGGTGGGGGTTGGTTGTAAGTTTTGTTGAAGTGTGAACACTTTTACTGGGCTGTGTGAAAACCCTCGCTGCAAGGCCCTGTAGGGTACAGTGTTTGTATTCAGGGTGGACATTTGGCAGGTTCTGGGGGAGCCCTTAATTTGCAGTGGCCATTCTGAGCTGGAGGGAGTGGCCATACTACTGTGTAGGGGTTTGGATCTGAGAGCGTCATTTGAGTACTTTTGAGTTTTTAATGAAATGCAGGTTTTTGTCTCAAAAGACTAATGCAAGTTTTGGGTTTATTTTTCCCAGTTTTGAGGTAATTATTCATATCACTGAAGGAGTTAGTGTTGCTAGAATATTGCTAGAAGGATGGTTTGTGATAAGATGAAATGTATTTGCAATTAAATTAGATTGTAGCATACAAGGAAGTGGTAGAATTGGGGCTCCTGAATGAGATGATGAGGTCTAAATCTAGACCCCATTACATACTGGCATGGTTTGTGAGGTTCTGCCCCTCTGCCTGCTATGGTGGATTTGTTAAGAATTCTGTTTTTGTGTTTTGTAGGATTTTTTGTTTTTAAAAGATTTTAAAAATAATTTTAATCTTTAAAAATATTATGATTATATGTCTTTGCTCATTAAATTCCTTCACTGGCTTTTTAACTGCAATTAGATGAAATCTAAATCTTTGCAGAGAGTCATTAAAGCCTTCAAGTGAAATGCTCAAATCTGAGCCTGATTCCTCTCTGGCTCATTAGCTTATTTCTAAACTGATTTTTCACAATAGTAAAAAGTAATAGCAATTATTCAGACGCTTGTAGTAAAATGAGACAAAAATTTTTTTTTATGTTTATATGGATGTATGTTATAAACACTTATATACCATAGCATAAACATTTATTTATATTGAAATACTTTCAAGCATAAATTATTAAAAATAATAAATATATATAAAGTGAATACACACACACACACATAAATATGAAGAAATTGGGAAAAGTCCACCAAATGTGACCAAAGAATGACTTCTAAATGGCAAGTTTCTAAGTGATTTTCCTTTTTCTTTTTGTACTTTTCTACACTTCCTCTAAGGAACAAGTGCTACGTTTACTATTTTAGGATCAGCAAAATACAACAAGGAATACTCTTTTAAAAATATTACTCTAATAATTCTAGCCAATGAGCTCGTGCTCGTAGATCGCAGAAAACAAGGACCACCCTGGTCCCTGCCCTTACAGAGCCCGATGCCTAGAGGTGGCCCGTGGTGACCCAGGAAAAACCCTGTGCAGATGATTGCTTCCCAGGCAGCATGACTAGACAGATGTGTGACCTAAACAAACAAACAGAGACTGAACATCATAACACAGTGTGTCCTGGAAAACCTGGACTAGAAAAGAAGCCTCATCAGCATTTTACCTAGTGTCCATTTTGGTGTGATGCAAAAATCACTTCCGAAGTCTTGTCAAATTATGTGAAGATGATGAAATGAGGGAGATGAGGTAGCTTCAGAGGACAGGAGCCAGGCGCTAAGCATGTTACATCTAAACTCATGTTATCTTGGTCTTGGACTGGTTGGTTGGTTTTTATTCTATACTGTGGGAAAATGCCATTAAATATGTAACAAAAGCCTTAAAAAGTTTCATTCCTTTTGACTCAGTAGTACCTCTTCTAGGAAATTATTCTAAGAAAATAATCAGAGATGTACATGGAGATTGGGATTTTAAGACCATCCTAAATGTAGTCAGAGACAGGTTACATAAATTATGGTCCATTTTTATGACTGACTTTACAGATTTTAAAGTCCATGCTGTAGAAGAAAAGATGAAGGCATTAAGATATATTTACAATATTATCAGTGCAAAAATCCACTGATAGCTCAGAAATAAAGTGTGCTCAAATATGAGGGGGAAAATATATATACATAAAATATTTGGTAGGAAAGACAGAAAAATATTAGGTGCTTATCTATCTTGGATGATGAAATTATAGGTAATTTTTATTTTGTAGGTATTTGAACTTTTCTGTATTTTCTAAAATGAATACAATAAACATTGTTATCAGATAAAATAACTGTAAAGGGAGAAAAGGAGATTCTGCTTTCATTTGATTCTTTGGTTGATTTTATTCTGTGTAGTAAGATTTTAACAGTGGTTAGAACTGACTTAAAATTTTAAGGACATTGGACCTTATTGTATTTAACAGGGTTGGACCTGGTTTGGATCCTTCCAGCATATGGATGAAAATGGGTCTTTACATAGAGATTTTAATTTAAGTAGATGTATATTTAGAATAAGTAATACAGGTACATAGCAAAAATTCGCTGTACAAATGGGTACAAAGGTAAAGTCTCACTCTCCTGTCTACCGAAAGGCCTCCCCACACCACCCCCACCCCTTCTTCCTTTCCTCTGAGGCAACCACTGAAGCTTCCTTTGTGTTCTAAGCAAAGGTCTGTGAATACATGAATCTATGCACACTACATACTACATTGTACAGATCACACATATCCAACCTTGTTGATCTTCCCATGCTTTAAATTATCTGAATAGAGTTCCATCAAATATGATTAATGGCTTAACTCTTCTGTTACCAATAAACAGCTGTTTATGCTTTTTTGTTATTTCAAGCAATGTTGCCATGAATGGCCTTGAACATATTTTTTGGGACACCAGTGTTAACACTAATGTAGGAAAAGCTCCTGGAAGTTAATCCCTGGGGTTAAAGGATATGTGCATTTTATATTGTGACTAATGTGGCCAGATTGCCCACCTAACGTGTTTGCAGTTCATCATCTCACAGCACTGCGAATTGCAAGTTTTGTGTTCTCCTATTTGGTAGTTGAAAATGGTCTTTTCTAATTTCAGTTTGCTTTTCTTAAAATTGTGAATGAGGTTGAACATCTTTTAAAATGTTTTAAAAGCTATTGGTTTAAAGAAATAAAGCCACGGGTACTTACTTTTATCTGAACTGTCTGCTTGTTGCTCTTCCTGTTTGACATTGATTATTGGCCTTTCTCTCACAATCTTTTATTTTTCTAATTGCCAAAAGTAGTCCCTTTTTTAATCCTATATCACTGCTCTTTCTTCCCAGTGCAAGATTTATTTATCTTGTAATTTTGTTTGAGTTATTTTTGCAGAATAATTTAGTTAGTTTTTAAGGACATAAAGCAATCTTTCTTTAATGACTTTCAAAAGTTTTCTATTATAATTAGAAAGGTTCTTCATCAGTGCAAGATATTTTTTTCTTCTATGTTTCCTTCCTTAGTGTTTCAATTTTAAGGTTAATTTTTGATCCTTCTGCAGTTGATTTTAATGTACAGAGTCAGCTAGGATCCATTTCTATTTGTGGAAGATGTTATATCTTCACAGCACTTTAGGAGATGGGTGGTCCTCTGATCCTCATTTTATAACCGAACCCTCGGAGGATGTGAGCTGCCCAGCCCTGGGGCCAGGGCCCTCCACTGTGTTCTGAACTGTTTTGTCTTATCCCAAAGCCCCATACCCTGAGCCACTGCACTACCCGCCTCCCCCCAGGGGCTTCCTGGCTTCAATGGCTACAGCGTAGTGGGACTTACAGAGATGGGTTGCAGGCTTTTTCCTGTGAAAAATTCAACACAAACACTACACTGTCCCAGGGCCTTTTACCACGAAGATGGGCGAACAGAGCACACAGGGTGGGGAGGGGTCAGTCAAGGCTACTCAAGGGTTTCAAGAGAGGAGAAACCCAAGATCTTGGGCTGCTTGCATGAAGGGTGTCTGGGGTTTCCGGAAGCACTGCCTCTCCTTTTTTACCTGCTCAAACATGTAACAAGTATGAGGCCTTTTATAATGATTCCTGGCTGCAGAGTCATCCCTTTGTCCCACGGCTCCCCCGACAGACCCTTTGGGGTTTCTTTATTGAGCTCCCTGTATCTGCCTGAATTGACACTAACATTCTTACCTCCACTTTTGCATGAATTATTTCCTGTAAGAATTTGTCCTTTCCCGCCTCCTCCCCAAAGGAGCCTTTCCTGCGGGAAGGGCTCCTTTCTCTGTACTCTTACTGTGCCCTGGTCACAACTCAGTCAGTTTGTGTATCTGTTTTATAAAATAGTAAGCTACTTGAGGGTAGGAGCTGTTCTGTTTTATTTTATTGTTTCCTTCCATATATCCACTGCAAAATGTCTTGCATATAGTAAATGTAATAGCATTTGTTGAGGGAAAATGTTACTTTTCTTTCTTATCTGAACATAACATTGTATTTTGACCTAGGCTACAACTACGTTCTCCTAACACTTGACCATCATGAATTTCAGCAAATGTCTCTATAATATTGGGGAACAGCTGGGCAGTGATGAACTGGCCTCCCTCAAATTCCTGAGCCTGGACCACATCCCACAACGGAAGCAGGAACCCATCAAGGATGCCCTGATGTTATTTCAGAGACTCCAGGAAAAAAGAATGTTAGAGGAAAACAACCTGTCCTTCCTGAAGGAGCTGCTTTTCCGAATAAATAGACTGGATTTGCTGATCACCTACCTGGACACCAGCAAGGAGAAGATGGAGCAGGAGCTTCAGATACCAGGCAGGGCCCAGATATCCGCCTACAGGTGGGCGCTGGGGGCGGGGTGGGGACAGGGTGGATGCACCTCTGTGGGCAGGGCTGGTGGTCTGTGTGGTCACTTCAGAGGCTCCGGGAACATGTCCCAGCAGAGCCAGATGAAGAAATTTAGAGACCTTATGTATAACTGAGAAAAAAAAAGCTAAATCTATAAAAAACCCTTTTTTCCTAAGTAAAACATTATTTACAGGTATGCTGAAATTAAAAGAGACGCTTTCTAAATGTTCTGTCTTTTTGTTATGTCTGTTGTTGCCTCTGCTTTGCTGATGCCCACATCGGGCGCTTACTGGCCTATTATTGAATCAAGCATCACTATTTCCCACCTGGAAACCCCCCTCCCAGCACTCTGGATGACTATGGAAATTCTCGGTGGGAGTTTTAGGCTTACGTTCCACACCTGAGGACTTACATCACCAGGTGTGTGCTGCTGGTCATTCTGGAGGGGCCACACTGGACCCCACAAAGACAGCCTCGCCCCCATGGGCCTGGCCACGGCCTGGAGAATGGTGGTGGCGTGGGTCGCCTGTCTTGCCAAAGGCCTTGCAGCTCGGCCTCTGTCTCAGAGCGGGTAACCTAGGACTGGTAACAAGCGGGTAGTTACATCTTCCTGATTCTGTGACAAGCTTTACAAATAGAAACACATTGCCACATTCTCTCTTTTAACATCCTCTATTATCAGACACTCTTTAAAGTTATTTTTAGCTTTCCTTTGAGAAAGCTTCTACTCAAGCCTTAGCTGTGGCCCATTTACTGTCTCTGCTTGTCAGTAACTGTGGCATGTGCAACATGAAGTGCCCACAGCCGTTGGGGGGAAAAGCCACTGTCCTCTCCCAGCTGGCCTACTGGTGCTGTGGGCCTTGTAGTCTCAGAGACCTGAGATTCTGGCATGTTCCATTCATATGTTTCTATACTTGAGGCTTGACCATCTTGATTTTAAATGACAAACGAGTTATTCTGGGTGTCTCAGTTTCCTAGGGCTGCTGTAACAAAGTGCCACACACTGGATGGCTTAACACAGGAGAAACGTTTATTCTGTCATAATTCTGGAGGCTAGAAATCTAAAATCAAGGTTTGGAGCTCCTGGTGGCTGAAGGCAATCCTTGGTGTTCTGTGCCTTGCAGAAGCATCGCTACACTCTTGGCCTCCATTCCCTTCTCTGTCTGTCTGAACTTCTCTCTTCTTATAAAGACATCAATCTCTGGATTTGGGCCCACCCTAATCTAGTATGACCTCATCTTAACCACATTACATCAGCAAAGACCCTTTTCCCAAGGTGGGAATTTGGGGGGATGATGGGAGAGGACACTATTCATTACTATTCAGCACTGGGTAGCTTCAGTTTAATAGAACTGTTAAGTCCTTATAATGATTTTTTTTCATTAAGGCACCAATTAATCCTAAAAAACAAAAACAAAAACAAAAAAAGCAGCCCCAGAACTGGGAAAGCTGATGCCTATCATCCTGGTCTTCTGAAGGTTGTACTCCTTCTGCTACCAGAGCAAGGCCAGGGCAAAGTGCCCGGGCCAGACAGTTACCTGTGTCTGCCTGTTGGAGGGTTAGAGTTCCTCACCAGAGTGGGATCTGCCTCTTAGAATCTTCAGCCTGCAAGCTGGAGAACAAAAGAGCACAAGTACAATGAACTGCTTATTCATCATTAGTTATTAGCCAGGAAATAAAAAAAAATACACCAGTGTGGCTGCTTTCCATTTATAAAAAAAGGACTAGACATTTTTATTTTTAAATTATAATTGTTATCCATAAAATAAGTATCTTATAAACTATCCAGGTTTATTTCTAGACAGTGATGGCCCAAGAATGCCAGTAAGTTTCAATAATGAGGAAAGTAAAAGGCAAAATACCTTGTAATAAAGTTAAGAGGGCTGGTAGCTTTTGATTAGACCCAATCTTAGCCAAACTGAGAAAGCTTAAGAGGCATATTTTTAGGATAAGAGATTCCATGAGAGTAAGGATGAACCAGGTGATAATACTGAGTAGCTTTTGTTTCTACACTTTTTATTTTCAGGATTTTAATTTTCTAATTTAATTTTGAAGTTTACATATTTTTGTATTAGAGTGACTTTCCTTTACACCATAGTAGTGACAGGTTTGCTGACCTACTATTCCTTTGTTCATTCAACAAGCATATCCCAAGAGGCAATTGTAGATTAGGACATGATAATGCCTTCTGGGTATTAAACACTTAGTGTGTTGCCAAAGACTGGTTTAAGCACTTCAAATAAATTTATTCATGTAATCCTCAATGCATCCCAATGGTGTAGAATAGTATTATCGACAAGTCTACAGATGAGAAAGAAAATGTATAACATGTTTAGAGTCACATAGCTCATAGGTGGTAGAACCAAGGTTCCCATTCCTGCCCTTAACACTGCACTTCTTGACCCTCTGGACTTATGGAAACCAAAAGTGCACAGACCCCGCTTTCTGGGGACCTGGAAAGCTTCAGAAACAGAATTATTATATGTGCTGTTACCCGATGTTATCAGCTGTGAACATTGCTTTTACCAGGATCGATTCTGGGAGGTGAGGAAGCATGTGTACACAGGGCAACCAGCAAGGCTCTTCTAATGAGTGAAAAGAGAAAGTTCCTGCTATTCAGGAGGGGTTTCAGGGGAGAATGCTGTGAAGGCTGTGGGGGGTGGTTTGTGGTTTATATTGCCTCCTGAGAGGAGGACGTCCCACCCTGAACTGATGACATTACAATCCACTCTTGATTGGCTGAAAGTACAATGCTTCATTTGCATAGGGCATAACCAATCATAGCTGAGGTCTATTTAATTAAGTGTACTTTTTGAGTGGCTTTGTTTGATTGGAGTTTTTTTTTTTTT